AATCTATTTTGAATCTATTTTGAGAGTCTTGGAGTACTACAAAGTAGATATTGAAAAAAAAAAAAAATGTTTAAAAAACCTTGAACTGGCAGTACCAGCCATGAAAGGAACTACGTTGGTGAATAAAATAAAATTTTAAAATACTGCTGGTTCGAGCGCTGAAGGTCGCCTGGCTTTTTTCTTTTGTTTTTGGATTGAAATTGATTTGTGGGCAACACTTATTTTCGACGGCCATGATGTTTAGAAACAAAACCTTGCCTGACATAGCATATTAATGCTTTTCCAGTAATATACGAAATAGTTATCCCCTGACATCATTACTTAGCAGTGATTAAGAATTTCCTTCTTATTCGTCGTTTTGCATCAAAAAATATCAAATTAAATGACTTGCATTGAAAGAATAAACTCGTCTAAAAAACTTACTTACAAAAAAAGAAAAAAAAGAATTTATTAAATCAAATTTTCGCCTTTTTTTCTTCTTTAATATTAAATAATGGTAATTATTGTATTTATAACACATATACACTACGTTATAATTTTGATCTTGTAATCACACAGGAATTATTAAAAATTCTATTCTATCTATTACTTAACTAGCATTAAATAAAAATTCATCTTAACCTAATTTAGCGAACTTACGTTAAAGAAAACTGTAATTTACTAACACTAAAGAAACTACTTATGCCATAACTAGCAGTCCAATGGGCCACATTTAACGCCAATCTCTGTGCATCTACATTCTAAACAAGGATTGGAGAGTTCAAGTATAATTCGACCTACACGATACATACGTCCATAAATATTACAACCGGCTAGCTTTAAAATTCCTATGGGATCAATTAAATTGCTCGAGGAAGAATGATGATATTGTGGATTTCGCGTTGTGGTCGTTGTAGTAGTTGTTGTGGTACTTATCGTAGGCGATATATACAAAGGTTCTAAGCCTTCCAACTGATTGAGTGTGTGTTTGTAGTGAGCCAAATCAATCAAGGCATTGCTTGTGTTCGTGTACGAGGGACGATGGGGTGACGCTGATGTAGAGGTGCGTTTCACCTCAATGCTGGCATCCATAAAAGGCAATTTGTCAAAAGGTGACATTAAGAATGGATTTGCGGTGCTAGTTATAGTTTTAGTTGTGCTAGCTAAAGTTGTAGTCATTGGTGTGACTAAGCTTGAGTTCTGTGCTATCTTCTTTTTTGTAGTGTCTGCTGTTTTAATTTTGTTTGTTGTTCTCTGCTTTATAGCCATTGCCGAGTGTAAATCAAAGTCCGCCCCAGTTGCTGTGGGTGTGATGACCACCGTCATCATCTCTGATGTTGTTGGCTTTCTGCTTGTATTCGCAGATGTTGGTTTTGCGCTCGTTTGTCCTCTTCGCGTTGCATTTAACTTTGGCTTCATCGAGGCAGCCGCTGTGGCCGTTGCCATTGCCGTTACGGTTGAGTTCTTCGCCTTTATGGGTTTGTGATGATGTGATGCTTTTGTTCGTGTTGGTGCAGTTGCAACTGTTTTGTTGCGATTGAATTTCATTGTTGGTCTTTTTGTGACCGACGCAGCCGTCGTCCCCGTATTCGTCACGGTTGTTAACATTGAATTTGTTGTTTGTTTTTTCTTTGTCTTCGGCCTGACTGTGGTCGTATGAAACACTTGAAACTTTGGTGTTGTAATCATTTTGACCGTTGTTGTTGTATTCTTCACATAAGCCAACGATTGTGCACTCGCCTGCGGCTCTAATATAAATATTGGTATTTCACTTATACGATTTAGAGTTGGTGTACGTTGTACGAGATGACTAATGTCCGTGCTATTGGACTGTTGTGACAGTTTTTCCATGCCAGACTCACCTTCGCGTCTAAGGATTTCTTTTGCGTTTACTGTATCGTTGTAAAGTTTGCTGCTTTCTGTTGAAAATTGATTTGTTTTCTGATTAATTTCTCTGTCTGTCAAGTTGACTTCAATTATAGATGGTATTAAATGCATTCCTGTTGGCATTGATGGTCTAACCGATGATGTTGGCTGAGATGGCGGCAATCTTGATAATTTGGTGTTAGTTAATAAATTTTTCAATTTATCTTCGATTAATGAAGTCAAATCCGGCGGTGGTTCTGTCCTAATGACATCTCTAAATGGATCGGGTGTTGTGATTTCTACAAAAAGAGATATAATCGGATTAAAAAGGTAAATAAATTAAAATGTAGTTTAATTTACAAGTTTACTGACCTATTACTTTGGTCGTGTTTAGAACATCAGCTGACGTCGTTATTTCGAAAATATGTGGTGTGACATGGTAATTATCCCTTATCTTTATTCCAGCACCTTCACTGCTCTCGTTGGCCTCATCTTCATCGTCCAGTAGCAAAGGTTCTTTAGGTACGAAACCACCTTCGGTTTTTGTGGGAGGTGAGAAACCTTTCGAAGGTTGAACTCCGCTCCCGCTAAAATCATACTTAACAAAAGCTTTCGAGCCTAAGGTACCGCCAAATTTACCGGCCGTGGATGATATCACAGCATCGGGACCTTCAACGTTAAATTTGTATATATATTCTGCCTTGCTGCCATCTTCGAGGTCCGTGTACAAAGGATACTTTTCAGTTATTGAAGGATAAACATTGGCATCGTCGTAGAGATTGTAATCTATTCTGGCTATAGGTGGCGGATTAGGATGATAATAGTCATAATTTGCTAATTTATTATGATCACCTTTTACAGCATCGGT